GCGATAGCCCCCGCTAAACCACACCCACCAGCTCCGAATACTCATTCGTGGGGCCAACCGACGAAGAACTCAAGGAAAGAGAAAGACAAGCACAGCATAACGCCATGTCATGGATGGTATGCTACAATGACGGTTGCCAAACACACTTTGGCGACAAAGAAGGCTCAGGATGGTTCCCAAGGGAATGTCGAAAGTGTGGCCCACGCCCAGACCATGTCCTGAAGCATTGGCAACAATGCTTCAGAAATGGGTGCAGGATGCATAGGGCACAAAAAATATCTGCAGGATTCTACCCGCAGAAAGATGGAAGCCGAAAAGAGTTAGAAGGAGAAGATGCCAGAAAGGCATGGGCCGCAAGGACGCGGTCCAAGGAGAGAGGGGCCCAAAATTCCTCGGCAGACACGGAACCGGATGTCAGGAGCCTACATAGGCAGATCCGGGGACTCCGAGAACAACTGGGCCAAGCTGAAGCCACAATTTCGGCAAACAACAAAACGATCGCGGAGCTTAGACAGCTGAACGACAATCAGCGGCACACGATCGAGATGGCGAATCTGACTCTGGAATCAGTAAGGGTCAGATGGAGGACGGCAGACGAAAAGTTCCACAAGCTGAGAAGGACTATGCGCTGCAGCAGGACGGGAACTATTGAAACTGGGAGAAAAAGCCTGATGGAACTCAGGCTTAGGAGGAGGGGAGCTAATGTTACGAATGTGGCTTAGCGAGGAAAGGGTTTTCACGTGACACATGGTTATGAGTCACAGGTATGTTATCGTTTCATGCATATGACCTATTCGGGTTATATAATTAGTTATGTGTTGGATTTATGATGCTTTCGCACATGGCTCAAGTATGAGTCATGGGACATGCGCCTGACGAGTATGCCTTACGAGTGTGCCTTACGGGTAAGCCTTGCGCATATGATTTATGTTTCACACATGACCTCATTATGATGTTATTGGTTTCATGCATATGACTCAGTCGAGTCATATGACTTGTTTATTGCGTTATGATTGGTTTATGAGTTTCGCACATGACCTCGCTATGAGGTCATGGGTTTTCAGCATGTGATCACTTTGGTCATATGACTAGTTTGTTATGATTTAGTTTCGCACATGTGACCACTTTAGGTCACATGATTAAAGGCGGGAAGAACACTATATAAGGAGGCAGATGTGGCCGAGGAAGATAGGTTCTTCACGCTTTGTTCTAAGTACTTTTCCTACTTATTACTTTAACGAATATAAAATACCTTTACGATCTTTATCCTTATTGCAACGTTATCGTTACACCAAGGAAGGCGCTTTACGAAGAAGAGTTAGAGAAAGCTTACGATAGGCAGTCCCGGTAGAAGACAAGGGTCTTGTACTATCGGTAAGGTAGGCAGAGGCCTAGAGCTATCGTAAGACAAAGGAAGAAGACAGGAAGAGAAGTATCGTTCCCCGTTGCCAAGCACTAACTATCCAAAGAGGGATTGTTACATAACCATGCCCCTAGACAGGAACTATCGAGAAGGCAGAAGAGAGTAGGGTGAGGTCCACAATAGTTGATGTGGTATTGCCAAGCTATGTGAGAGGAAATTAGGAGTAATAGAGAGTACTATACTAGAAGTTCTTTTTTTTTTTTTTTTTAGAATCATATTATTACTTGTTTAAGTTACAAGAATATTGCATCTAGTATGAGCTATAGCGTAAAGAAAACCCCCCCTCTCCAGACCAAGAGAAAACCTGTATCTCCAAGAACTTCTGGTATGGGCCTAACTATATACACTCTAAAGGCGATCCACTCAGGATCCCAGTCCGTAGACCTCATGACTTGAACACGAAAAGGTCTCACCTAGAAGCTAACCATATATCCAAGAAGATTCCTTACCTGAAAGACCACCCCTCCCACTAACTACATGTAGCCAACAGAAACAAAGTCCAACAAGTAAGGCAGAAAAGCATAGGGAAAAAAGCTTTATCCCATAAACTACTAGACCTGTGAGGGTCATAAAAGAAAATAACAACTGTCCACTGAACCTGTTACGTAGAGACAACCTGATAGAGTTCAATATTATCTCAGTCCACTAAAACTCGTTTCTGTAGACAGTGATTGTCTAGGAAGGCTCAGACTTTACTTGTTTCGTTTATGACTACTAAAAGTAAAGTAAAATAGGTAGAATAGAATTTAAATTGTAAAAACAATATTATATTATTAAGGTCTCTTCTCCGTTGCTTGATGATGTCTAAAGCTTGGGAGGCACTTCAATATTTATATTCCATGTCTGAGTGTTAGTGGACTACATCTATTTATTATACAACTATGTACCTCTCTGATTATAACTCACAATGACAGGTATTCTTGAAAGGTGCAAATACCAGGAGACTCTGAAAATCACCACACCCTCTTTGGTAATTACAATATAACTAACTGGGAACCATACTGTTCCCAATCGTAATTATCTGATCATTAAAGTCTTTAGACTTATGTCCTTGTTCTTAAGTCAAACTGAGTCGGTCCCAATTGTCTTCACCATTGATGAAATGATCAGTTGTATCTACGGATTGTATTAAGAAGGTAGTCATAATCACAATCTTTCTAGATCACCTAACTTCAAACCTTCATAACTCCTGACCCAACTAATAGATATCTTCCGAAAGACTTCCTACTAATTCGCAGGAAGCTATTCTACTAGATTGACTAAAAGTCCATCAGTCAGCAATCTTTGGATGCTCTGGATAACAGAGTTTCAATCACTGTTGTAGTATTGAGAGTCATCCCTGCAGCTACAATGTATTCCGAAACCTAGTTGTAACACTCTGTAAAGTCCCTTGGCTGCTATGGTACTGTCTTTCAGAGTTCTAAACTCTTCTGGGTATTGTAGGGTAGATGTGAATGTATTGGTCTCTCGTTGAGATTTTTTATCATTCAATACCATCTCTTTGTACTAAAATGACCTATTACTTATAGCCCATACTAAAGGTGTTTCATATTTGAAGCCTAGTAATTCTCTAAGTAGTTGACCAATTTACTCTATTCCACTTCCCAGACCTCACCGAATATCTCCTCACATATATCCTGTGAATAGGATCCAGTCAGATAGACAGTGGCGCTGTATATGGTATTATTCAAACATCCTCAATTCTGTGGCATTATAGTCACAGGATGCAACTGAGATCAATATGTATGATGATATGTGGATTCTATAAGGAGGCCAAAGGGGGGTGTTAGAGACCAGGGATTCTGATTCTGAGCGAGGTTAGCCTACTTAGAGTGATTCCTAGGTATCGGATCCCGGTATTCCTAACAGAACAACCAGATTGCCATGTATGAAGAACTACCACAGAAGTGAGTAGCTGGCAAACAGTACTAAGGTCAGATACCCCCAACCAGCTGAGACACTGATATAGTAGAATACCACAACCTACCAATCAAGAACAGGAGCCGCAGTGCCAGGCCCAAAGAGTAGATGTATTAGTAGAAGGGATGCCGTCCAGCAGTAGGATGCTAGTCAAAGATCAACTGTGGGAAAGCAGTAGGCCAAAAAGCCCCGGAATACCACATGGAGGAGTGAGAAGGTAGTAGAGTACTAGCCAAAGAGGTAAGGTAGTAGGATGCAAGCCGACACAAACAAAGTGGTGAGGTGGAGGGAGGGCTCAAAGTCCCAGAGCAGACCCGACAGTAAACTAAGCCGTTACTGTATCACTGCATCTCTCATGTAGTTCCATGTTCTTGGAGAAATAGCGTCACTTAGTAAAGAAGATCCCACCAGCAGAAAGGAATTAGAAGGGTGAGGGTAGGAAGGTAACAGTAACTTGAACCAAATAATGAAGCGGGTATGATTAAATCTTACCGCAAGACAGACCCTGAAGTTACTAGTTAAGGCGTTCCCCAACAGGGATTGTTCATGTGGGGAGAAAGACTTCTACCACTGCTAGCACCAACTGGAAAAGAAGAGAGGAAGCCAACTATACCAAAGCTAAGTGAGCCCCCAAGTAAGACAGGACTACTGAGCAAGGCCCAGATAACCTTCCCATCAAGCGAACAGAGAACAAGCCAGGCAAACGCAGGAGAGACTGTTGAAGAGAAACCATACTCCTAGGCAGGAACCATCAAGGGAGTAGAGGGAAGGGTGAATGGCCCACGATAGTTGACCATGGTGTTGTCAAACTATGTAGGAGGAAAATAGGGGCAATAAAGTGTGCTATACTGGAGGTCACTGGATCTCACTATTTATACAGACACCTCACCCAATCCTAACCCTGTGTGACTCATACCTTTACATCACCATATCTTATGACTTACAATCATGAGTCATGTGATATCCTCAACTGACTCATATGAATCAACTGCGCAACATACCTAAACCAATCATAATCCTTATACCAAGTCATGTGTGCTAAGTGCATCACATGCATGAGACTCATGACTCATATTTATGAGTCACGCGCAAAAGTCATAACATCATATGACTCACAAGCATAAGTCATGTGAAAACCTTTGTTCCATCTCATCAATCTGTCATATCACAATCCGGTTTGTGACAGCCTAGGAGGGTTGCTGCTGTTTTAGATGCAAAGGAATGGTGCACAAAGTATTGATTTTTTTATTCTATAATTTCACATGAGAATTTTCTTATATCTATTGAATCTCTAACTAAATTTTCACTTCATTCTAGGTAGTTGTGATTGCCTAGGTAGTAAATTTATAGTGGTGGTGGAGTTGCGGTTGCATCGCCGGACGAAACGATTTGACCTGGTACTTTATCAACGAACCCCAGTCTGAAGCCGATCCTCAACCTTCCAGATGCGCCGTTACCAACAGAGTTAACTCACTGTAATAGCAAGTTTTTTCGGTAAAAATTTCCAAACGGCGAAAATGAATTGTTGCACCTAACGCCGACCGGGAAAACCTTAAACCTCAAGCCTCTATTGCCTAACGCCGATGATGCATCGGAAAGAAATGATCTTCGAGCTTGTACCATGAAGGTGTGACAAACGTCTTGTAGGGGATGACGTCTGAATAATTTGGGTCGAGAATTTGAAGAGATAAATACTGTAGAGGTTTAATTGCTGAATCCTTCCCTTCCCACAGACAATAAAATACCCGAAGGCCAATTTAATGCTCATAAACACGACTTCTACCACCTCTGTTTTTGCTTGAGCCTTTCATTACTCTACAAAACAACCCTTCATTTCGAAATGGCCGCTCCAAGAGTCTGGCTTGTCACCGGGACTTCCTCCGGTTTCGGAAACGAACTCGTCCACACCATCCTCAAAAACGGTCATAAAGTCGTCGCGGCGGGAAGGAATACTTCGAGATTGACCTCTCTGAAGGAGGCCGGCGCTGCGACTACCAAGATCGACCAGAACGAGCCCTTAGATATACTCAGGAAGCAGGTTGAGGACGCCATTACTATTTATGGACACATCGATGTTATCGTCTTGAACGCAGCTTATGTCACTACGGGAACTTTGGAGGAGCGAACGTATGTACTAATTCTACCCTACAAGTTGAATTAGAAGTAAGAGCTAATTTGGACGTGATGGCGTAGGCCCGAAGAATCGCTCGCACAATACCATACAAACGTCTTCGGCATCCTAAACCTCTACCGCGCCATCCTTCCGCACTTTCGAGTACGAAAGGCCGGTATTATTGCCACAGTCGGTAGCATGGGAGCTTCAATGACAGATCCTCTCATTGGTCTTTATCACTCTTCCAAAGCCGCTGTCAGAAGTACCCCCCCTACTCCACCCCTCAATTGCCAACTTACTGATATGGCCCAGACCTCTCCCTCACCCTCGACAATGAAGTAAAGCCCTTTGGCATAAAAACTTGCCTGATCGAACCCGGATACTTCCGCACAAACCTCCTCTCCTCAGGGACATCATTCCAGCTCCCAGAAACCAAGATCGAAGCCTACGCTGAGATCAACGAGAAAACAAAGACATTCCTCACCGAGCGGGACAGAAAACAAAGTGGAGACCCCAAGAGGGGTGCTCAGGTCATCTTTGATGTCCTCACCAGCTCAGGATGCGCAAGGGGGAGGGAAGTTCCCAAGACGCTTGCTCTCGGAAGTGATGCTGTCAAGTGCATCATTGGCAGCAACGAGGAGTTCAACAAGAGGGTCGAAGAATGGAAGTCCGTCAGCGAGAGCACGGATTTCCCGAAGGAGGAGCAGCATTATTAAATGGAGACCTTTTGGGGCGCAATATCCGGTTGTAATTGCTGGAGTTGTGCCGCAGCTTTTCTCTAGTGTTAGAATTTCAATTATATTTTTCTTCCGGGACCTCGAAGTCGTCGTTTGGAAGCATTTATCTCACCCATGATCACTCACATCGTCCATCACGTGAGAAACTCGCTTAAATGCCAAGAAACCCCAGATCTCTCCGGAGATCTCCCAAACATCAATTCCCCAGATCAGTTCTATTAATGAGAGGGGTGACATGTGCGGAAAGACTCCCGGTGTTTTAACCCTCAAGTTGTGCATTGCAAGAAACCCAACAAGTCATGGCAAGTAGTCGGAGATTGGTCCCTCCGAGTGGGGATTTCAACCGGGGGTTCTTTCTACCGGTGATTATTGAGGCCCCAGGAAAGGTGGGAGGGGTAAGCCACTTTAGCCAAGCAGAAAGCTCTCGCTTTCTTCTTTCTTTTAAGCACAGGCTTCAGCGGGTAATCTATGATTCCCCCGTCCCGCGTGATACGAGGTGAGAATTCATGAGGGAGACAACCTCCACTGTCTTCCATAAGCCTTGCTCAGGGCAATGGATGCTATACAAAAATCAAAGAATAAACACAGTCTACCCAATTACGCCTGCCAACTAACCCAATTTGCACAGCCAACGAAAACCCCAGAATCAGGAAAGCCAGCGCTATCAAAATGGGGCTCCGTGATCTAGATTACAATGAACATACTATAAGTGAGCTTACGTAGATTGGTTGGCTCGGCAGCGGCTTAGACCCTTGGTGATCTTGGCCTGTTTTTCGGGCTCCGTACTCTCCTTCCTTCTCTTCTCTTTTTGTAATCCATTCCGGATCGTATCACTCACTGCTCACCACTTTTCGTCATCCCCCCCTCCAATCTCGCCTCCTCCGGCCCTGGAATTCGTTTCTACAAAGAAAGAAAAAAAATCGCCGGATAGCCAGATCTCCGCTTTCTCTCGCCCCCCACTCTCAACCCTACTCTTCCTCCCTACCCACCCCCCAAAACGACCGATTTACAAACCCCGAGTACCATACACCCCGACTACTTCCTCTGTCATTACTCCTTCCTTTGCAACCCATTGTTCGCGACCACCATTTGCCCGCCATGAGTTGGAAAGGGTTTCAGCGGAGTGTCGTTCGGGTAGGCTCTTCTTGGGCAAACTCTTGGATAAATGAAGGAAGTTCGAAGGCTAACGGGAGGAGTGTAGGCGCCGCAATCGATTAAACAGAAATTCAATATGGTATGACGGTTCTTGATGATTATGATGATGATGATTCTTGCTTTCTTATATATATATTTTAAACAAGTATATCGCTCGGTTGGTCCGTTGTGGTTAACGAGGGAGTTTAGGGTGAAGTTACGAAAGATGCGATCTACCTAGATGCAGAGAGACAATTCGATGAGCTAGAAAAGGTTTGTTTGAAGCTATGATGTTAGCTTTGCGAAGTGGCATACTGAGGTATGTCGTATTATAGGAAACGAAGAAGCTCCATGATGAATCGAAAAAGTAAGTTGTTCTGGATCCTTCGCCGTTGTGGGCTGTTCTGATTTGTCGTCTAGGTATTTTGATGCTATTAATGGTATGCAATAGATAACCTACCAAGTTTAGCTAAATGGGTTACTAATGAGCCTTAGGCATGCTGGATCACCAAATCGAATTCTCAAAGTCCATTGCTGAAATATACAAACCGATCTCTGGCCGAGTGTCGGATCCGGATTCGATCAAGATTGAGGGAAACCCTGAGGGTATCCGGGCTTGCGAGGAGTATGAAGCTATCGTCAACGACCTCAAGGTTACCCTGCAACCAGAGCTCGAAATGATCGAGACACGAATAATTCGACCGGCTGATGAGCTCATGGAGATTATCAAGGTTATTCGAAAGACGGCTTTGAAGCGCGACCACAAGCAACTAGATTACGACCGCCACCGGGCGAGTCTCAAGAAGCTTCAGGATAAGAAGGATAAAACGCTCAAGGATGAGAAGGCAATGTACAAGATGGAGGGGGATGTGGAGCTAGCAACGCAGGAGTTCGACTACTACAATGAGCTTCTTAAGACGGAGCTTCCAAAGCTCTTCATGCTCGAAAGAGAGTTTATTCAGCCTCTGTTCCAGAGTTTCTACTACATGCAATTGAACGTGTTCTACACTCTTCACGAGAGGATGCAAGGAATCAACATTGGTTATTTTGACCTCACTCTCGATGTTGAGGCAGCTTTTGAGAAGAAACGCGACGGTGTCCAAGAGCGAGCAGAAGCCCTTGCCATAGTCCGTTTCAAGACAACCGGTCAGCGCGCTTCGAAACCGAACCCCAAGTTCCAGAAATTTGGCAAATCAGATACAGCTTCGGTGACGTCACGACGGACAACATCCCTGGACATGTCACGTACTGCTGACGACGCTACAGGAACCCCACCACCGCCCTATACATCAACTGGTATCCCCGCATCAACCGAGGAAAAAGACTTTTTACGCCCTGCTGCCGCTACCGGTGTCGCGAGAAGCAACTCTACCGGGACAAACTACTCAGTAGTAGGCAAGAAGGCTCCTCCCCCACCCAGACCGAAGCCAAAGAACTTGAGCGTTGAACCCGAGAAGGCGCCGGCTCTGTACGACTATGAGGCACAAGCAGATGGGGATCTGAGCTTCAACACCGGGGACGTCATTGAAATCGTGCAGAGGACCAGTAACGAGAATGAATGGTGGACCGGAAAGCTGCATGGCAGAACAGGACAGTTTCCGGGAAATTATGTCAAGTTGAAATAATTACCTGTCTATCCTTTGTCTTGTGATGTATTGGTGAAGGTTCCCCCCCTTTTTTTTTCTAGAAATGGTTGCGGTTTCTTTCTTCCTCTTCCTCCTCTTTTCTTACTCTCTTCTTTTTTTAACCTTATATTGTAAAAATGAGCCTCAAGAATTTTTTTTCCCTCCTCCATTTATATTTGATCGTTGAGGGTGTGTTTTTGGTATATCGCATCGTATGGGGGAGGGGTTGGTTATGCCTTTTTTGACTACTACTCTACTTTTCCTTTCTTTCCTTTTTCTATCCTTTATTAACTCTTATAGTTTAGAGGGGCGATTCTTTTATATGTATGTATTATGGAGGCGAGAGGTCAGAGGGGTCTGAAGTAGTTTACATAGTGGAATGGAATGGAGTTTTACAAGTATTTTCGAGAATGGTTGTTTTTCCGGAATATATCCGAGTGAGAGAGGGTGATCATGTTTTGTTTAATACGGTACGGTACTCCGGGACTGATTGGGTTGTTCAACCACGGTAGAAAATTAGAACCCACGACACAGCATTGGAGAAATACCGTATCTAACTCTTGGAATCCTGACTCGTGAATTTCTACCCACAGCAAGCTTAAATCTATGATACTTCCACCTCAAACCACACCAAACAAAAAAAACTTTAATGAGGCTCTTAACCTACCCGCATTACTGGTAACCCCCGGTATTAGGGCTATACCCGCATCCGGTACCTTATGGCAAATAAGAGCATGATATCTCCTCCCCGCATGCAAAACCACAAACAACCACCGACCTCCTTCTTCTCTCCCTCTTTCATCCATCTCTTTGATCCCCCCCCCAGCTCACCAACCAACCAACAGCCCACACACCAGACCATACAGGTATGCTCCCCTCTTTCTTCTCCCCATATTTCTCCCTCACAGGCAGTAAGAGGAGGTAAAAAAATTCCATGATGATACTTCGCAAAAAAAATATGATAGGAAGAGTCCCAGCATTTCGACATTTTTAAAGAGGCGCTTCAAGGCGCTTTCTTTTCTTGATCGGGGGTGCGGTGAGGATGATGCAGGGGTACTGAGAATTTGGGGAAAAACTTGGATCGGAGAGCTTGTTTTTAGGGGGAGTCGGGTTGAATGGGAGTGCTAACTGAGTGGGTGTGAAGATTTAGTCTAGGTTGGGGTAAGGTGGTCTGCCGGTATCAAGCAAGAGGGTGCGCTTGAGCATAGTAGGGTTTCTGCTGTGAATGGGAAGGAAGGAAGGATGGGGGATTAAGTTAGGATGTATTCTACTACTGCTAATAAGAATATCTTCTTTCCTCCTGTCTTTAGTGAGGTCTAATGTCGTGTCTTACCTCTGATACTTGTATTGTACCTTTGTGCGACAATACTTTAGAAAATCCACTGCCCAACTCTCGTATACTCGAGTACTCGAGTACCGTATTGTAAGGGGTCGGCCAAATCCAAGTCTTGGCGTGCACGTAACCACCTTCAATCCAAACATCAAGGTGTCTTGCCTTCACCCCCATCTTCCACTTCTACTCTGCACTACACAAACACTGCAAAGCTCCCACCCATGCTTCAAAGGCTATTATGACGACCCCCATAAACCACAAGCTAACACCGCAAGTCCAGCAGTGGCTTCACCGTGTCATCGCTCCTGTAAGTTATAAAAACCAACCAATCACTCCTCCATCCATCCCCCGCCCGGAAGGGGGAAAAGCTAACGCTTGGTCTGGGATAACAGGAATATGCAGATCCGCAGAGAGCTTACAACGATATTGCTACAGCGTTGTTTAATACCCCGTCTTTATCGCCTAGAACGGATGTCTATAGTATGCTTCCCCCTCCCCCATCCCCCTCCCGATATATCTCGACCCGTGCTGATACCTAGGGGATATGGAAAAGCCCACGAAGACGGCCGCCCAGAGCTCCTCATCCAGCTCTACGGGACAATACCCGTCCTCTTTAGGGGCGCAACATATAACATCCCATTGACCATCTGGCTACCGCATACGTACCCCCGCCAACCCCCGATGGCATTCGTAACGCCAGCCAAGGACATGCTGATTCGTCCCGGGAACCACGTTGACCCTAGCGGGAGGTGTTACCATCCTTACCTGGCGAATTGGATTAATTACTCTGATGTATGTTTGCCATTCACTCTCATTCCACACCCTTGCTTTTACCCGTTGGGAGGAGGGAGCTGACGGGGGTAGAGATCGAATATTGTGGATTTATGCGATGTTTTGAGGGGGGTGTTTGGTAGGGAACCGCCGGTTTACTCGAAGACTGCACCGCCCGTGGTTAAGCCTGCAGAGGAAGCACCTCCGCCTTTACCGCCACTACCAGAGGAGTTGGTGGGGAGAGCGGGGGGTTCGGCAACGCCTGCGCCGGCAAGTGTTGGGACGCCAGTTGGGCCACCGCCATTGCCACCATTGCCGAGAGAGATAGCTAGTGGGTCGCCGGGTTTGGGTGTGGGGGGGAGGTTTCCAGGTCATCAAAGTCCTCCACCTCCACCACTTCCTCCGGTGCCGGTACCGGCGCATCTTAACGCTCAGCAACACCAGCGGCAGAGACCGCCACCGCCAGGGGAGGATATGAATGAACAAGGGAGGGGCCCGCCGGGAGGGTATACCGGTGGAGGACCACCCCCCCCTCCACTACCTCCAGTTTCACATAGGGCGTCCGGAACCCCACAGCTTCAAGTTCCACCATATAACCCACCTGGAAGTGTAGGCCCATACCCCCCCCCTTCCTTCCGCCAGAACATGTTCCCCCCTCCCCCGCCACCTCCCCCTCACCCACCAATACCCCACACCCACCGCCAGCAGTACTCCCCGCAAACCTCTACACCACCACCAACGCAAACCTACCACCACCCACCCCAGCACTACCACCCACACACACCCTTCTCGCCACACACCAACACCCCGCCTCAACCCCCACCCATAGTAAAACGCCCCGATCCAATAGACATAATGTCCCTCCCCCCCCCTTCCCCCCCTCTCCAGGGCCCGGCGGTAGCCCCCCCACCCCTTCCGCCAAACCCCGAAACCACTCTCCTCCTCACCAAAATCTCCACGTCCCTCCATACCCTCGCCACAGCCTCCCACACAAATCTAACTTCCACGACCCTCCCGCAAGCGGCAACTCAACGCGACTCCCTAACCCGTGCCCAATCACATATGACCCAAGAACTCCAAGACCTCACCCACCTCCACGTTCTCTGCGCCCAAGATGGCGAAATACTGAAGGAGCGCATTGCAGCTGCCGAAGGCGTCATCCATGATGCGGAGAACAGAGAGGTACCCGGCGTTGACGCTGTTGTTGTGGGGCTCACGGTTGTGCACGCGCAATTGTATGAGCTTGTTACGGAGGATAGGGCCATTGAGGATACAATATATGTGCTCGGTAAGGCGTTGGATAGGGAGAGGATTTCTCTGGAGGTTTTTTTGAAGGTATTTGTTCCCCCTTCCCCTCCTGTGCTTGTTTGATTGGTTGGCTGGAGTGGTGTTAATGGATGGGGGCTGGAACAGCATACGAGGACGTTAGCTAGGGAGCAGTTCTTGTTGAGGGCGCTGGTGAAGAAGATTATTGGGCAGATTGGGATTGAGGAGTAAGTTAGGTTAGGTATCACATGGTTTATTCTGGCGAGTGGGTGTATAGTGGGTGCTCGGGGTAAGAATATGCATACACAACTGCAGGTACATGATTCAGACGTGTTACCACAAAAGTTCTTGTTCGGGTTTCGTGCGTGTGGGCAGGCAGGAGAATACCGAGTGAGATTTCATGCTCATATTTTGCGCTTGGTTCGCTGGGGTATAGTATTATATTGCGCAAGGCTCAATCAATCGTGGCATAAATATGCTATTAAACACACAGCATATATCGGTTACAAAAAACGCAAGAAAAAGCCCAAAACGTTAAAAAAAAATAAGAGAATCAAGAAAAAAGCGAAAACACTGTAGGGGGAAAATGCATAAAATAGAGGCATCACTCCCGCGGGTCTTCCCTTCACGTATATATATCCCGAGCCGTATGGAGGAAAGAAACAAATAATTTCATTGCCTGTCGTATAGTGCTGGCTTGCCTCGCGCTGAATATAGGAAATGGCAGACGACCGCGTCCCCATTTCTTGGGGGAAGGAAAAAGAAAAAAATTGGAAAAGAAAGTTTTGATTTTTGCCCTTCATTCCTATCTGTCTTCAATCTACTCCTTCCCCTCAAGACCGCCGGCAACCGGCGCTATTGTGCTGATTTAGACATACTGGGACATCCATCTGAACCCTTCTCCGTAACCTGCTCCAGAACCGATAAGTACCAAAGCTCCTAGAGAACCTAGATAGCGCCTCAGACATACCTTGCCTCTTAACAACCGAGCACATGAAGACCTCAATAGGCCTAATTCCGTCCAACGGGATCTTTCCCTTGCCAGTGGTCTGATATAGTCCGAGTTGGTGTCTCAACTCGTCCTCGGAAATAGCCTCGGGATGATCAATCTTGTTTCCGAGAATGAGGAACGGAACCTTGGATAGGTCCTCCATCGAGAGAAGAGCGTCAAGTTCGGCCTTAGATTCGGCGAGACGCTCATGGTCTTTAGCATCGACCAGGAAGACTATTCCAGATACCTCCGGGAAGTAATCCTTCCAAAGACGGCGAGCTGTTCACACAGAGCCATTCGGCGGTTAGCGATGGGCAAGGGTATGGATGGGGGATTAATGAGAGAAGGATCGAGATGGGGGGCTGAATCGCGAGGGGCGGTGGCGTAGTTATCGGTGATGACGTTGGGTTCTAACAACGAACATGCCAGAGCATCTCATATGCAGACACCGAGGGGAATAATACTCGAGTAAAAGGGAAGGGCGATCACGAGGGGAAGAAAAGAAAAGAAGGAAGGGAAAAAAAACTTGCCTTACAGGCAATATAAAGAGAGATGGGAGCGAAGGAAGGAAAGAACGGAGGGATCTACCTTGCTGATGCCCACCAAGATCAAAGGTTGTGAACTTGACGTTGCCAATGGCCAACTCCTCCGAGGCTGTAACAATAATTCGTCAGAAAGCCGTAAAGCAACCCGGAATAACCTCCTCCTCCCTCGATGCCCCGCAAGACCGTGAAGGAGGGAAGAAAGAAGTGCTTACTGGGATGCAAAGTAGGCTGCAGAATAGCCACACGATCATTCTATACAACACACCCAAACCAATCAGCGTTAGCCAACCAAACGACCAGCACCGCAGACCTCAGGGGTGAATGAAGGAAGGAGAAAGGAAGGGGCCGGAAAATCCTCACCTTAAGCATATGAAGAAGCGTAGTCTTTCCAGCATTATCAAGACCTAGGAATAGAAGCTTCGCATGCTTGTTCATGAGTCCTAGACTGGCGAGAACATCCCAGACTTTATTTTATCGTCGTTGTCGTCAGTCTCGGAGATAGATAGATCGAGGAACAAGGACAGCTAATCCACAAGGCTCTCCCCCTGAAGCAATAGATGAAGGGGAAAAGGAGAAGGAAAGGGACCTACACCAATTTATCATCCACATGTTTTAAAGAATGGAGTTCTCGAGGGGTAGTAAAAATTAGCAGGAGAAAGAAAAGGTCGAGTGTTGAGGTAGACGAGGTAAGCGGGTAGATAGTGTGGAAGGAATGTTGTGTGTTGCGGTAAGTTTTTGGGGCGGGTCTTGGTGGCACGGTATCTTGGGCTTTGGATGTGGGAGAGATTACGGCAACCTGTCAAGATCTGAAGGAAAAAAATGGAGGGACTGCAACGAGCATAAAATGCGGCGGGGGTTTGGCCAGCCACAAGTCAATCTCCTTCCTTCCACCTCAAAATTTTATTAAAAATATAAATACAAAAGTTGAACAAGCAATCCTTATACCGATGATGGCGCGCCGGCAGGGCAATATCCATTCTATTTACAGTATACAACAATACCGGGGGAAAATGCTGCAAGTATTCAGCCTCGAACGAAAATGTTACTGGCGACCCCATTCAATTGATTGATAAAGCTAGGCTACGACTGACTTGAGTTGACTATCCACCTGCATCGTATCCGTCCTCTCCCGCAACAGGTGAATAAGAACAGAAAGTAAAAACCACCCACTCCCATATGACTCCTAGTAAACAAGTGAATATAAATGATAATAGAAAGCGAAGAAAAAAAAGGGTTGAAACAAGAGAGAAAGAAATCAGTTCCGTTCCGTTCTGTCTGTCTGCTGTTATTTCCTCGTTAATGAAAAAGATATCGGGTGACAACCGATAAAAGAGTAAGAAAAAAGAGACCACCTCCCCCGCGATAACTGCTAGAGACAACGCACGAGGCCGAACAATGGAATGAAGCAACTCCCTGGAGTCACCCGTGATGAACTATTCTTATTCTGTGCATGGCGCATTGAAA